AAATATACAATAGAAATATAATATATATATATCTATTGTGTATATAAATATATATATATATATATATATATATATATATATATAAAACTATTGGTAAGTGGACTTTAAAAATTTAAGCTAAAAGACACAAATAGCAAAGAGATTAGAAAAAAAACAACAAATGCAACAAGTTATTATTAATTATTTTAATCAATTTAATTTGTAAAATAAGATATAAAGAAAGAAGCAAAGCTGTTATTATTTTGTTTAAAGCGGAAAGAGCAAATAAATTTATCATGACTTCATTTAATATTAAGATCTCAATCTCATACTCAAGATGAAACAGTTTCAACATGGCAGAGTTACAATCAAACTATATAGGCCTACTTCACTTCAAGCTAGCATATTTAAGGTGTTAGACCAGTGGTTCTTAACCCGGGTTCGATCGAACCCCAGGGGTACGGTGAGTCAGTCTCAGGGGTTCGGCGGAGGTCCAAAAAAAAAGTCCGAAATTTAAAAAAAATTTTTTTCCTAATAAGAAGGGTTCGGTGAATTCGCATATGAAACTGGTGGGTTCAGTACCTTCAACAAGGTTAAGAACCACTGGGTTAGACTAATAATCAAGATGGCAGAATAGTTGACCTAAGAAGTATACTTACACTTTTAAGAATTTCGAAAGAACCTATTACTGTGTTAATGGTTACAAATGCAATTCAGTTCAACATGGTTGTATTATAATCCTTAGAATTTCTCAGTAACACGTGACAGGTTTTTAATTAACAATTAAACTGTCTTGGGCGCCAAATTCCGGGGTGTCGTTTTAATCACGAAATTTAAAAAAAATATAAAGAAATATATTTGTTTTTTAAATCAATGAAGAATATTATGATAACAGTAACACTTATGATACCCCCCCCACACACACACACACATACACACTTTTTTCATAGCGGAGCTTGTAGAATGTACAAATATTGGTTGGACCAACACCCTGTCTATTAAAAATGATGTTGCCTGTTTCGACTAGATCATGCAGCTGACATCAGCGCTTTTGTCACAAAAGCCAGAAAAAAAATTTGCTTGATGAATAACAGTTATGATGGCATTAAATTTTTTTTTTTTTTTTTTTTTTTTTTTTTTTTTTAAAAATTTAAAAATTTTTTTGGGTTTTATTTTTTTTTTTTTTTTTTTTTTTTTTTTTTTACAAAATTCAAAAATTGTTTAGGGACTTCAAGCTGAAAGTCGGAATTTTTCTAGTTACAGTTAGAGCAATAAAGCCATTCAAAGACTTTTTTTTTTTTTTTGTTGTGTTCCATAAAAAATCCAAACTATAGTTAGACTATGTTTTATTGTTTATAATTGGTTGTCGGAATAAGACTGACATTTTGAGACTCGTTTCATCTGCCTTCCCAACCAGCAACTTTTAACACTATGAACAGTTAGCACCGATACGAAAATTTGTAGGGGGAAAGGGCGCAAAAATTTATAACTGCCCGGGGCGCCAATATTGTTAAGACCGGATATGGGTTTGGGAATGCATAGGGACATGTATGAATTCAACATCAGGTCTCGCGTAGCTATGTCTCATAGTTAATAGGTACAATTTCAACAAGGGGAACAAAAATAATGTGAAAAAAAAAAGTTTGCATCAAATGTAATGATAAAAGAATGACACTGCCGTAACATTTGAAAGTTCATTGAACTTTAAAAACAAACCTCAGTTTCAAAAAAATGTCTTATTAGATAACGAAGGATACAAAAAATTTGCAGTACCACGATAAGGCCACGCTAAACTATAAAACGTTTGAATAAATTTGTATACAATTCATACAATTTTATGACATTCCTTCGTACTCCCAGCACCATGACAATGACTTGAATGAGTCGAGGCTAGAGACTAGGGAGGTGGTGATCTTAGAGATGGGAGATGGTAAGGTTAAAGAGGTCAGATGGGGAGGTTAGAGATTTGGAGATGGTGATGTTAGAGTCTAGGGAGATGGTTAGGTTAGAGACGGGAGATGGTGAGGAAAAAGAGCAGGAACTGTCATTAAACCTGATGCAAGCCAACCTAAAGTAATGATTGGGTTATTCATAGTTTATGATTTATGTAGAGACTGCATATAGTTGTTTGAGAGATGGCATATAGTTTTATAACGATAAAACATACAGCCTTTGAGATTTACTTCTCCGCTTACCGCAGAGCTATCGCGACGTGGGGGCTTGCAACCCCTGGGGATATTTAAGGGGGGGGGGGTTCAAATTTGAGACCTGGAAACATAATTGAACTATCAGCTTTTAATCCAAGGGGCGAGAAACCAAAATAAGTGTCAGGGGGTCTCCATAAATCACGCAAACTCTCTAGTTTTCTGGACAAAAGTTTGGAAAAAAATTGAATGTAATGTTTGTCTACAAGGCATTAAATTTAAATGGACGCAATATCACAAAGCAAATTCTAATGGTTAAAAAAAGGGTTAGATATTTTTTTTCCAAAACATGAGAAGGGTATAAAAATAAACTTTACAAAAATGACACATACAAATCATGGTAAAAAAATAAACTAAAAAATGTGACAGATGAAAAAAATCATGATACAAAATAAACTAAAAAACAAGGCAGATGAAAAATCATGGTAAAAAAATAAACTAAAAAACGTGACAGATGAAAAAATCATGATACAAAATAAACTAAAAAACAAGGCAGATGAAAAATCATGGTAAAAATTGATCATTTTAATAAAAATCGTAATATCACATTTATTTGATTAATACAATTCAGGTCTGGACGGAGTCTGGAATGAGATTAATGTGGGGCATCAATGGCAGGAAATTAAAAAGAACCCCGAAAACAACAATTTCTTCAACTATTTTTAACCGCAAAATATTTTATTTTTATTTTTAAAGGAAAGAAAGAAACGAAATGAATCAATAACAACAAGCATTACAAATAAAAAAAAATAATTGAAAATACAAATAAATAAAATAAATAAATATATATAAATATATATATAATTATTGTCTGCTGTTAACAAGCGTTGCCGAGCAGATTTAAATGCTTTTAGGTTCGGTCCACTGGAGTTGCGAATGAATGGCTGTTTAATTCCTCAGAGTCATCTGATCGTTCTGTTCTGTTCCACCGTAAGACTCGACCTCCTCAATCATGCCGAGGGCCTGCAATATCATGAAAAACTTGAGGAGGTAACACGACACGGAGACAGGATACAACTAGAGAAATATAGATTGGGGGGGGGGGCATTGACGTAACCTGACACCGTCATTGATGCGTGTACTAGCAACGCACCGTCAATGCAGTGATCATTAACAGCGTACAGTTTTTAATACACGTTTCATGTCAGCAATCTTTTTTAAATTTAAACTAAAATAATGAATTTTATTTGTTGAAATAGATACCCTGTTAAAGGTCGGGAGTGGAGTTGTGGAGGGTTGTTGTATATTGGACTAGAATTTCGTATATGACCTATAATTATGATGGGTAAATTGATTGTTATGTACCGATAAATCAGTGGTTCTCAACCTTCCTAATGTTGCGACCATTTAATACAGTTCATGTTGTGGTGACCCCCAGCCATAAATTATTTTCGTTGCCACTTCATAAATATGTGTTTTCCGACGGTCTTGGGTGACCCCCGTGTAAGGGTCGTTAGAACCCCAAAGGGTTCGCGACCCACAGTCTGAGAATCGCTGAGTTAAATGGCTTTTCAAATTTAATCCGTTTTAGGATTTAGCTCGTTACATGAACAGTAAGTAACAAAGTATTGATACCAAAGCTAGTGATATCAATATTAGGAGCCACAATGATCAATATATTGATCGTGGGTCTTTAATATATAGAAGAAGAATATTCAATTTAATCAAACTAAGCAAAATCTTGTAAGGCTCCTATAAGTATAGTGAGTCTCGTAATATAACTCGTGTCTGAGAAATCTACCAAATCTCTCTCGGCTGGGAAAGCTCCCGGGAAGGAGTTACACCCCCCTCCCGCCCCCAAAAAGATATTCTAGAAATTGCACCCCCTCCCCCCTATAGCATTCTTTCGAACAAATTAGAACGTAAAACAATTTTCCCAAATCAAAGTAGTGTGTAATGATAAGTAATATAACTCGTGTCTGAGAAATCTACCAAATCTCTCTCGGCTGGGAAAGCTCCCGGGAAGGAGTTACACCCCCCCCCCGCCCCCAAAAAGATATTCTAGAAATTGCACCCCCTCCCCCCTATAGCATTCTTTCGAACAAATTAGAACGTAAAACAATTTTCCCAAATCAAAGTAGTGTGTAATGATAGAGCGCTGCACATTTAATCGATGGAATCAATATACTTTTTTTTTTTTTTAATGAGGCTGGGTAAGGTTGATTGCCACGGACTGCGGTGAATAAAAACTAGATCAACACACAAGCTATAACAAAATATAAAATACGCTTTAAGAATCTTCTAATGAAACGAATGCTTCTCTTTAATGTCTCTGACGGGGAAAAAAACTAAGATAGATTTGCGAAAGGGAAAGTAAGAGAGGTCAAATTCTTTAGGTATCTTCTTACCCCCAAAATTATGGGCAGAGACATGCGAAAAGTTATGTAGAATCAGCTTTGACTTACACAAGTTATGTAGAATCAGCTTTGACTTACACAAGTTATGTAGAATCAGCTTTGACTTACACAAGTTATGTAGAATCAGCTTTGACTTACACAAGTTATGTAGAATAAGCTTTGACTTACCCAGATGTAGAAAGTAGCTGCCCCCGCACTCACGTCTCTGATCTGTTCTTTGGTGTACGGCTCCACCATCTTCTTGGCAACGTGTGCAGTTCGTAAGGCCACTGTCTGTGCGTCGAATTTGGATATTTTTCTCATCACAGACTCACGCCCTGTCTTACCCAGCAGCGCTTGGACCTTCTGCCATACCTGCATGAAGATAATGTGAAGAGAAAAAAAAACTTATTGAGGACCGTAAAAATTTGAAGATTAACTTTTAAAAAATGAGATGTTTAACGATTGGTCTAGGTATAGTAATATATGTAACTATATCTTAACGATAGAGCTATTTAAAAAAAAAATCCCAGCTACAACTTTGAAGAGAGCATTAGCGTTGAGCTGAATCGATTGGATATTATATGGGCTAAAATATTATTTGATAAGATCAAATTTGCTAAGGTGTCAAAGCGCAAGATTTCAAAACATTAGCGTTAAAAAAACAGCAAACAAACCAACTATACGCTGTGGAGTTTCAGATAAAGGGAGGTTACGAGTTACCCTGTATTCTGTTCAACGTCATACTACTCATAGTTTAAAAAAAAAAAAAGGGGGTTAGTTCAAACTACATTTAAACAAGTAGGGCGATCATGAACTACTTCAAAAGAAACGTTTTCCAACGCTATAGAATATAATAAACCTCTGCAGTTCTGAGAATATTCGGCTAATAGCCAGAATCGGCAAGGCAATGTAATCGTTGCAGGCCATAGCCATTTGTGGGCAGTGCCGTCTTAGGGCATGGGCCCGCTGGACACTGGCCCATGGCCTCACGCTTCTAGGAGACTCATTCGTTTAGAGGCATGATGCTTTAGATGTTGTTAATGTATATTGAAAGATTTTGGGGAATTTAATTTGATTTAAAAGTGAGTGGACAGCACGTTTCCCAAGTTTAACCCACGATATTATCGGCACATTCCAAAATTAATATTATAAAAGCGAATAACAAATTGGATACTTCTTAAAGGGGAATAACTCCCGACAACAAGTTTTATTTCTCCCAGATATGAATTGAAAACCCTCCCCCCCCCCAATACTAGTAAAGTAAGAATTTGTGTTTACATCATGTTAGACTAAGATGTTAGTGCACCAGGGGTAATTGTCCCTCTCACCCCCTCCTTCGCACGGCCCTGAGTATATAGAGGGTTATGGGCCTTAGTGTATCACTGTGCCAAGGGCCTCCATTTCTGTCAAGACGGCCCTGTCTGTGGGGCTGTGTAGGATGGCATAGATGTGTACTCTGTTCTCTGAGTCTAAACGTGCAAGACTACATTCTACATCTTATTTTTTGTTAAGAACTATTCAGCTGAAGTTCACATTCGCTAAATTTTTCAGTTCTTAACTAATTCCATGATACCAAGTCATAATTTAATAAGTGTCACCTTACTTTAAACGCGAACATGAATCATGTTTAAGTCGCGCCTATTTCCTTACATTTAGCTCCTTCAAGTTATGACCCAGAAGTAGGAACGTTGCTGTCAGGCACTGGTGAACGCCATCTGGTGGGTTGGAGTAGGACTTGATTTCCGAGATGGTTTTGGGCTCCATGTTGAGCACAGCGTGTCGCAGCTTCTCAATCTTTTGCAAGTGATCCCGTAGTCTGACGGCCAGGGCTACCTGGAGGTCTAGTTCGTGGTGAGCGTTGATGCTCTTGGCCTGCGCAATGGCTTTCTCTAAGACGGCCAGGTCTCGTTTCTGGGTGGCCTCCATTAGTTCTGTGAAAACAAAGCGGATTCATACATATTATATCAGACGATATCCTTCACCTGGGTGATCAGAGCCGGATATCAAGGCAAGAATACAGATTTAACGACAATGCTAAGCCTGTTCTGCTGCATGGCTCGGGAAGCTGGAAATCAACCAAGAAAGATTGGGAAGTACTGCAAACCTTCGTGAAAAAAATTACCTTCGTATATCTTTAAAATCAAGAGGCTCCACAGAGTCCGAAACACAACACGACAGCACAAATCACAGTGGAGACAGAATTCCGGAAAAGAAGTTGGAGATGGATAAGTCATAGCATGAAAAACCCATGCCATAAATAGCAAGACCAGCACTTGTATGGACCCCTTAAGAAGACCAGTACTTGTATGGACCCCTCAAGAAGACCAGCACTTGTATGGACCCCTCAAGAAGACCAGTACTTGTATGGAACCCTCAAGAAGACCAGCAGTTGTATGGACCCCTCAAGAAGACCAGCACTTGTATGGACCCCTCAAGAAGACCAGCACTTGTATGGACCCCTCAAGGATCAAGAAAAAAAAAGAAGACCCCCACCCAACCCCGCAAATAAAAAAATTCCTACCTGGAACTGCAAGAGAGTTGGAAAGAGTTAGAGACCGGGAGGCTTGGAAATAAACTGTTAATGATCTATGCTCCATTGGGAGTTGAAAAGTCAAAGAAGGAGACGAACAACCTTCCTTCCATCGAGTTCACTAGTTCTGCTTGAGTTTTTCCACTATATCTTTTAATTAGGGATCATTAGATTTTTTTTGTTGAACATTTTTGGGTGACATAGACCTATCTGTACAGTAAATGCAATGCTCTGTGTTATTTCATTACACCAAAATATATAAAGGCTACTAAATAGTTTCGATGGAACAAACAGTAAATAAAATGAGAAACGTTAAAGCTGGTTGGGGCCCAAATTACACATTGCTGTTATTTTAGTGTTAGCGTGCGCCGTTACAATGCGGTACGTCCAAGAATGCATTTAAATCAAAGGGTAAAGTTTGACACAGATTAAACATTGATCGTGACATTCGATCAGTTATCGAACTCCCCACCTACTCAGCCTGTAAGTCGTCGCCATTGAAAAGCTCCGTGCCCCCCCAGCCACGAAGTAACATATTGATTTCAACCAAAGCAATGCCAAAGAATATCTCAACTATGGTCACACATTTTATGCCCAGCCACAAATATATTTGTTTTTAAAATGGTCGGACACAAAGAAAGCAACATCATGTGAATGAGGGCAGTTGTGACCTTGAATGAGAGCAGTGGTGACCTGGAATGAGAGCACTGATGACCTGGAATAAGAGCATCGGTGACCTGGAATGAGAGCAGTGGTGACCTTGAATGAGAGCACTGGCGACCTGGGATGAGAGCACTGATGACCTGGACTGATTGAGCGCATGGGGTTGCAAAGATCTGTTTTTATAAATCTTTTATATTATCTTCGCGTTTTTTCCGTGGGTGGCTCGCTGGCAAAATAATCGGACGGCTAATAGACCTACTTCCCGTCAACCTATCGAGGTAAAACTTGGCACATAGACTCGTTGCCAATGTTTTGTATAAATTTCTGGCCCCCGCCCCCACTGTTCGATATTGCATTCTATAAAGGATTTGTATCGAAAAACTTTAATTTCAAGGGTTGCTTGATTTAGATTTGACACGAAACTTTATTGTAATGTAGACGCGGCCCAGCGGGCCCCAATGTCATCGACCCTGACGGCGTGCCGGGATTTTTCCCGTCGACCTTGCAGCCAAGTCCGACCCCTCTAATGAGAGAAAAGGTTAATTAAATGCTAAGAAATTTTCACGGCTCACCTTCCTTTGCCTTGAGTACCTCGAGCTGATGCCTGGCCTTTAACAAGAGCGGGTCATTGTCATTGGCGCCATTGGCCACATACGCCTTGATGGCGTCCTCCAAGAAGCGGATGTCCTTTAGATCGAGTGCATTCTGGATGTTCCTTCTGGCCTGGCGCTTATTTTCCTCTGTAAATTGGTAAATGTTTAATATATCGATACAATAATTTTAACACAGATAAATCCTAGATTTTTTTTGTTGCTGTTACTGCCTGGGGTTTTGAGAATTTCATTTTGATAGTAAGAATCATTTTATCATTGAGAACGATTTTTATTATAAAGGTATACTTATGGGATACGTTCACAAAGGAAAACAAATATTTCTTTTCGGAAAGAAAAGAGCACAATGGGTTGGTGCAGATCATTTCCGCTTTCATATCATTCGTGGTTGTCATGGTTTGGCTAAGTAAACATGGATCGGATGACGTTCCGTGAATTGAGAGGAAAGAAATTATTCATAGTAAAAATATAGATTTTATTTTAAAAAAAAACTATATTATTGGGGTCTGTTTTAATTAGCCCTACTTAACTTACTGGAGTCGAGTTTTGAAACAACAAACATGATTTAGGAACCAACATAAATTGGTAAGTAAAATGCGGCAAACACGGTCAAGCCACTCTGTTTTACAAACAATTTGAACGGATCCCTGGTTTTACCCATTAATATGAGAACTTACAGCAAAATTAAAAGTGTCTATGCTAAAAATGTAAGAACAGAAAAAAATCGTTGACCGGTGTTTGAACAATCAGTATAAGGTCTATGGCGTTAGAATGACCAACGCCTGATTTATTGCTGGTGATATGCAAGAATATATGTCAAATGTTTGCTTAAACAAAACTAGCTCTTAATTTATAACGACAAAATATTTTCACGCATTTCCATGCACTGGACGAAATTTTCCACTGAGCTCTAACGAGAAATCTGGTTTCTTTACCCGTCTCAAATTACAGTAGCTCGAATGTTGACCAACAATATTTGCCCCCCCCCCCCCCCCCCCCCCCCCCCCCCCCCCCCCCCCCCCCCGACTTCCACGACTTCCCAAGAATTTATCTATCCCAGCCCACGTAACAACCCATTGTTCACATTACTCCCTCATAGGGATCGCGGGGGCCGACAGCGAAGGGTATGATGCACAAATGCTCAGTTCGCGAGGAGCGTCATCACAGGTTCTTCGCTACCTTCAGAGTCGCCTTTCTTCTTAAGGCCTACGTCCGCGTCTGTGTTCTGCCGGCTGGGCTGGAGGTCTTCCATGATGATGCTCAGGTTGTTCTGGTAGAGCTCCCCTGGGCGTTTACGGTTGATTTGGTACTTGGCCACATTTTCGACCTTACGGGAAAAGGAAAAAAAGTTGAACCGGGCTTAGAGAAGCTAGAGGTTTTCAAATTTTAACACACTAAAAGCGCAGGGTAAACTCTAACCTGAGCACTTTGAAGTTTCCTCTACCATGACATATAGGGACGTCAATGAAAGTATTTAAGGGTTAAAGTAATACAACAAGAAACAACAACTGGACAACGAAAAAATAAAAATAAAAACAACAAAAAAAAAAAAAAAAAAAAAAAAAAAAAAAAAAAAAAAAAAAAAAAAAAAAAAAAAAAAAAAAAAAAAAAAAAAAAAAAAAAAAAAAAAAAAAAAAAAAAAAAAAAAAAAAAAACAACAACAGGAAAACAAAAAAAAAAAAAAAAAAACAACAAAAAAAAAAAAAAAAACCCAACAAATAACAAAACCACCCTTACCCTTTATTGAAGTTTGCTGTTTAAAAACTATTTCATTAATTGATTTTCTCAGGTGGCGATACTTGAGTTTTGTACCCAGCGTTTGCAGCGTTAGATTTAGATTACGCAAAAATAAATAAATAAATAAACAAATAAACAAATAAACAAATAAACAAACAAATAAATAAATAAATAAATAAATAAATAAACAAATAAATAAATAAATAAATAAATAAGTAAATAAATAAATAAATAAATAGATAAATAAATAAATAAATAAATAAATAAATAAATAAATAAACAAATAAACAAATAAACAAACAAATAAATAAATAAATAAATAAATAAATAAATAAATAAATAAATAAATAAATAAATAAGTAAATAAATAAATAAATAAATAGATAAATAAATAAATAAATAAATAAATAGATAAATAAATAAATAAATAAATAAATAGATAAATAAATAAGTAAATAAATAAATAAATAAATAAATAGATAAATAAATAAATAAATAAATAAATAAATAGATAAATAAATAAATAAATAAATAAATAAATAAGTAAATAAATAAATAAATAAATAAATAAATAGATAAATAAATAAATAAATACTATGATGTTAATAAAAACCAACGTTGTTTTATTAAATATGTGTGGGTCGTTAAACAAAATAGGGTTTAGTTAGTCAATCTGATTTATAAAAAAAGTAAAAATGAATGTTATGCTAAGATTGGCTCAAGTAAAACTTGCACCAAAAAACCGGCATCGGGATGGTGTTGTTTTGTTAAGTTTGACTGAAGGGAAAAAAAAAGTTTCCCCAAGCGGGACTAGGGTGAAGACGCTTGTAAATCCTGCTCACTGGAATTGGGAAAAGAATGTTACCAAGCATGTTTTCATTAGTCTTTTACTGCTAGGAGCGTATACTTCTATTTCTAAGGAATATGAAATATGGTCAAGGCCCCTTATAACCAGGGCCGTGGCGAGCTAAAACCTGCTCCCTGGATAAAGCAGCTGCATTTAGGAGCCCAAGTTCTCCAAAACAGTATCTATTACTATACACATTTTGCGCGAAAAAGATGACGCCCGTTAAGCAACCCTACCCCCCCCCCCCCACTATTTTTGTCGCACGGACCTGCCTACGACGTTTTAACAGCAATAACGATGAACAAAACAAACTATAATTTACTCAAACACGATCTACAACTATGTAGGCTACAAAACAAGCAAAGCCACAGTTCCCATCATGCACCTACCAGGTTGGCGTTCTCGTCCATGCTGTATAAGTTGAGCATGTATTCCCCATAATCCTTCAGCTGGACCTTGACCAGGTTCATGTCGTCTGCCGAGAAGAACTCAATCTGACTAGGGTCAGGCGGGTCATTTCCGTTCCTCCTGTGGACAGCGGCCACCGCATTCTTACAGCCATAAGGAACAGGAATCATCACCTGTGCAGGTTTAAAGTAAATCCATATCAAATCCGCTGATCCCTAAAGCTGAGATTGTCATCCTTACTTTAATATCCACCTTTGAACACAACGAATAGGTAATCAAAATGGTGGACAATTGAATTTACAAGCTTTAGTTTAGCACACATAGTGCGTCTCGGTATCTAGAACATCCACACGAAATAGGTACGAGAGATTACAAGTGTTGTTTTTTTTTTTCAAATGATCATTCAGAAAGAAATAATACAGGCAAGTTGTGCAACATGAGAGCCGTGGCCATAAATGAGAGACGGAGAGAGAGAGACAGAGAGAGTGAGAGAGAGAGAGATGAGGAAAGAGGGATATAGAGAAAGATTGAGATAAAGAGAGACAAAGAGGTGCGGAAAGAGAAAGAGAGAGAAAGAGAGAGAGAAAGAGAGAGAAAAAGAGAGAGAGAAAGAGAGAGAGAAAGAGAGAGAGAAAGAGAGAGAGAAAGAGAGAGAGAAAGAGATAGAGAGTGACAATAGAGATATAGAAATAGAAAAAGAAATTAAGAGAAAAAAAGAGATAGGGAGAGAAAAAGAAAGAAAAAGAGAAAGAAAGAGAGATAAAGAGAGATAAAGAGAGCGAGAGATAAAGGGGAAAAAGGGAAATAGAGAGTGAAACAGAGAAAGAGGGAGAAAGAGAGAGACGGAGACAAAAATATGGAGAGAAAGAGTGAGAAAAAGTAGATAGAGATATATAGATAGATATATAGATAGATCGACAGACAGAAAGAGAGATATATAGATAAAAAGAGACACAGAGAGAGAGAGAGAGAGAGAGAGAGAGAGCGATAGATCTCAAAACACTCATTTAAACACGTACATGCAACAGTAATGGAAACAGTTATCAACATCTGCTTGAAAAAAAAACCACATGAAAATCTCCAAAGTCGTTAACAGCACACAGTTTTCATTCATAGAATCAACGGTTGATAAGAAAAATGTTCATTGCTTGGTTTCAAAAAAACCCAGTAGCTAACAGCGTGCCTCAAAGAAATAAACCGAGTAGCTAACATCATGCCTCAAAGAAATAAACCCAGTAGCTAACAGCATGCCACAAAGAAATAAACCCAGTAGCTGACAGCATGCCTCAAAGAAATAAACCCAGTAGCTGACAGCATGCCTCAAAGAAATAAACCCAGTAGCTGACAGCATGCCTCAAAGAAATAAACCCAGTAGATAACAGCATGCCTCAAAGAAATAAACCCAGTAGCTGACAGCATGCCTCAAAGAAATAAACCCAGTAGCTAACAGCATGCCACAAAGAAATAAACCCAGTAGCTAACAGCATGCCTCAAAGAAATAAACCAAGTAGCTGACAGCGTGCCTCAAAGAAATAAACCCAGTAGCTGACAGCATGCCTCAAAGAAATAAACCCAGTAGCTAACAGCATGCCTCAAAGAAATAAACCCAGTAGCTAACAGCATGCCTCAAAGAAATAAACCCAGTAGCTGACAGCATGCCTCAAAGAAATAAGCCCAGTAGCTGACAGCATGCCACAAAGAAATAAACCCAGTAGCTGACAGCATGCCACAAAGAAATAAACCCAGTAGCTGACAGCATGCCTCAAAGAAATAAACCCAGTAGCTGACAGCATGCCTCAAAGAAATAATCCCAGTAGCTGACAGCATGCCACAAAGAAATGTATCGTTTGCTTCATAATAAATAGGCCTCATAATTGTATAATCTGTAGGAAGTTTGTGTTAAATTGAAGCCTGTTTAACAGCTGCATTCTTGTAAGTAATTAACTCAATTTTTAAAAGTAGATGCCTTCTTGTACGCATGTATCAGTGTTCTTAAAGAAGGTGCCTCCATGCCAAAGTGTCCTCGTTTTATAGCCATTTTAATGGTTTATATAGTATAGTAGTTACTATCCTAATGTCTCATTTTTATTTTAGTTAGTTTACATGTTTTTAATAATTGTAAGGCGCTTAGAGCTTTAAGGTAAGCGCTATATAAAAATGCCTAAATAAATAAATAAATAAATTTATCTTTTTTTTTTAATTAGGTGCATTCTTGTAAGTATGTATCTCTTTTAAAGGTTCTTAAGGTGTTGTCCAGACAAGGTGGACTATAAACGTTTGTACAATTAAATTCCAAGATAAAAAACAAGCAAACGCACTAGAAATAGTGACTTATAAAGAAAATGTTTAAAACTTTCCACCGCATCCTTTGAATGAACGTGGTGATGAATTAATATGAATTGATAAAAAGCTATGATGAGAAATGTGGTTTGAATAGCAAATCGTGCTAAGCACATGATCTGCGTGCCTCATGCACAGCACTGAATGGAACTAGGTTAGTCGCCACCGAGTGCTAACAATTTGAAAATCATCTCTCTGATCATGCAACACTCCGTCTTTAAGTGGAGAATTAAAAAAAAAAACTGAAACAGTATTTACCCATGCAATACCGTACCTTTTTAGACAGCAGCTGAAGGTAAATTTAAAAAAAAATGTTTCTTATTTTCTCCAATTAACAAAATATGTTTGAGTTCAAATATTGCATTAGGGATCATACATTAATATACGTACAAAACAAAAAAAGTCACTCGTTATGGTTTCAGGCTACTTCAAATTTTCTCTCTTCCATAGTTTTTTTATAAGTACAAAGTTATCGATACAATGAACAAGACTAGTACACTCGACTGCACTGTTGTTAAAAGTACTCTGTTTAGATGCAAGCTGTGCCACCATTGTTTTTCGCTTCCCACTCCCAATTTCATTTGCACATTTACACAATTGGTAAACCGTTAGTCACCTTTCAACCCCACGCCTTTGTTGTGATGGCTTATATTTAGACATGCATCACCCAAGTGAAGTTAACAAAACAAATTGGTAAAATGCACGACTGCCCATTCCTTGACACACTTTCTGTCAACACAGCATCACAGTCCATTTATTCATGATTGGTTTATATCAGCCTCACACCCGAGACCAGTGTTTCTCAACTTATGGCAGCATGGAGCCCTATTTTTGGAGTATATTTCGCTATTCCACGTTTAGGCGCTTGGTTTACGTGTAGGGCGTGGGAAAAAAAAGACATTGTATTAGACACTCAACTCTTAGAATTAAGTAGACAAAAGATGATTTTTAAAATGCAATTTTATTGTAGGTGACATTGTACTTACCTCACTGTCGCTAGTCTCAACTGTCTCGGTGGGCACTTGCATGTCCTTCTCATTAAGCCCATCCACCTGATCGCCGGACATACTCCCGCCGGCAGACTTGATGAGATACGAGTGGACGCTGTAGATCTGACCCTTCTCGCCTTTCCTCTGGGCAAACACGTTGAGAGTGTACTCGCCCTTGACGGGCATGTCCAGCTTGAAGTTCCACTTGTTGCCCTTGCTGGTCACGGCGGACTTCATCTGACCGGCTGCCTTGCCGTCGTTGGTGTGGATCTCGCAGACGAGATCGACCCCGGACTCGGCCTCGAAGTCCAGGCTCAGATTGCCGTCTTTCGTCTCCAGCATACCGCTGGGGTGGGAAACGGCCTTGACCCCGAACTTGTCGCTGGTCAAAGGATTCTTACCGACGAGTCCGTTCGTCAAGTTGGGGAACGGCTGCGATCCCGTTTCGGCATCACTGCATTTGATGAGATAGTTCAGCACGTTGGGCGCAGCGCCTTCGTCGTCGAGATCCTGGGCGAAGAGCTTCAGGGCGTACTCGCCGTTCTGCGGCAGGCGGAGGTAGATGACAGCCTCGTCGCCCTCAAGCTCGGTGATGACGTACTTGCTCAGCGTCGCCTCGTCGATCTTCGCGTGCTTCAGCAGCTGGTGGAAGGCAAGCGCTCGTTCCTTGGCCAGGCGGATCTCGACGTAGCCGTCCTTGGAGATCACCTCGCCCTTTTTGTGCGTCGTCGGTTCGAGGCCGGCGGCTCTCGTCTCGGCCACGGGCCCCCAACCGAGGGGCGGACAATCGGGCAGCGGCAGGCAGTTGTGCTTGGCTTTGGGGCAGTTGATGATGTAAGTGCAGCATAGGTCAAAGACGTCCCCATCCTCGGTGTCCAGTCCGTAGATGTCAAGTTTAAAATTTCCCTTGATGGGGAATCTGAGCGCGAACCTAAGCAGGTCCTCCCTCTGCTCGAAGAACACAAACCTGTCCAAGAAGAGGTCCACCTTTCTGTCGGCGGCTTCGCTCTTCGACCTGTACAACATATATTTAAAGCGGAAGGTCTGGCTTCTCTCAGGGGGCAGACCGAAGATGAACTCGACCTCACCGTCTACAGTCTCGGCCACACATTTCATCTTCGTCTCTGGTACTGTGCTCATGCCTGCCAAAATTATCAAAACTTATGACAAACATGTAGAAGGTGAAAGGAACTTTTAAACACAAGAGGCAAAAGCAATTTTGTAAAATCGAGGCATTAAATTGTACACTACGAGATCCAATGGATGGGCGGGACTCGTTAACCTTGGATGACGACTCATCTAAGAGAAGGCAAACTCTCAAATCAAAACCAAAGATGAAGCCCCGTAGGCGGTATGATGGTGACGCGATGAAAATTGCGACAACTCCTGCGACGCGAAACGCCTAAATAGCACAGTGACAAAAAAAAAACCCCACACACACATACTACCACACACACACATACACGCGCACACACTGTTGGTCATCTTCCAGTCGACTTGACTTAGTCTTGCCATTGGACGTGAGAGGGAGGCTGACGAATTGAGCACCTCTCTCTCACTTTAAACTAAATACAGATCAAGTCAAGGCTGCTACACACTGTTGGTCATCTTCCAGTCGACTTGACTAATTCTTGCCATTGGACGTGAGTGTGAGGCTGACGAATTGAGCACCTCTCTCTCACTTTAAACTAAAGACAGATCAAGTCAAGGCTGCTACACACTGTTGGTCATCTTCCAGTCGACTTGACTAAGTCTTGCTATTGGACGTGAGAGGGAGGCTGCCGAATTGAGCACCTCTCTCTCACTTTAAACTAAATACAGATCAAGTCAAGGCTGCTACACAATCGAAGCCTTGGTCAACTTCACGCCCGTAGGACAAACAAAAAAGCAATTCACATCAGGTTAATGATTACACTCTGCGTTGAGAAGGTTAAAGTAAACCTCAACGTTGCGTTGGAAAGATCTACATCAAAAAATAGAAAGGAAAACACACACACACACAAAACAAAGGAATTAGCTTGCAGGGCGATGTCTAAGAATGCATGTGTCGACCAACAACTTGCCAAGAATGTGGAACCGCTCCCTGACGTAAAAGTGGTCCTCAAACTCTTCAAGAGTCACGGGTTTGTGCAGCAGCTGCCATTTTTTGTCGTCCGGGAAATGCGTCCAGATCAGCTGGTCGGGGTCTGGTATGAAATAGAACTCATTGATCCTGTGATGGGTCTGACCCTCTGTCGCGTTCTCCTCTGCGTCAACGACTTCCCCATCGGCGTCAACCAGAGTCCACTCGCCTGTCAGGAAGGGAAAAAATGTGTTTAAATCAGGCAGGGATTAAAAAAAAATAATGTAAAAACTGTCGGAATGGAGTCTGTATAGTGATACAACGTCAAACACGATCCTAACCTACCAGATTTCTTCCCCACCACGCAGGCACAGGCCCAGAACGCATCGATCAGCCTCCAGTTGCCGTCTACGTACACGGCGTTCCACTGGGCCCCCATCTTGGATCTGTCCGCTCTCCTCCCAATCTCATAGGCGGCGCTCTTGTTCATGCCGCTGATGATTTCACACGGGATGCCGGCCATTCTGTTGAAGGACGAAAATCACGTGATCACAAACATGTATTAAAAGGTGTATAAACAATGGCATATGTTTAACACAAAGCTAAACATAGAGACACTGGAGACGACAGAGAGAGGGAAAGGGGGCAGAATATCCCATAAGCCATATATGCATTGACAATGAGGCTTTCAGAAAGGGGCTTGCTGTTTCTGGCACGTGCATGGATAATGCTGAACAACGCACGTGAATGAAGACAAAGGTCCAAACATCGAATTACAGGGTTGGTGATTTCTAGGACCGGAAAACGTCACATCACATTACGTCATGTTACTATTTTTATACACTTTATCGTCAAACATAGCCTCTAACAGTGTTTTTCCGCATATATATCTGTAACAATTTGTTTTTAAAATTTTTCGAAAAATAAAGTTGTCAACACGTTTTCGTCTAGGTTACGACCCACTACGCTGGCTAACATTAACGTAGAAGTACAGAACAGCTTTTGAGAGATTGGCCAAACGGAGTACCAGTACCAGGATATTTTATTAATATCTTAACGAGATTGACCACACTGTAAGCTAGAAAGTTCTATTAATAGATTTCCGCCTGAACACACGGCTCAAGAAGCTGCTGAAAGGAAAGAAAAGGCTGTTGAAGAAAGCCCAAACTACCAACAACTGGACCCTCTACAGCCAGTCCGAGAAACACTGCCGTAGGGAACTAAGAAGAGGGGAGTGGCAGGACATAAATTACGTCAGGGAGCGGTTCCATTCACGAGGGCCTTGTAAACAACAACCCAAAACCCTTCTGGCGCTATATAAAATCCAAGAAGCAAGACAACATTGGCGTAGACGCCTTACTAGGAAACGGGCAACTACTAAGCGTTGGCAATTGCAAAGCAGAAATTGTCCTAAGACATTTTCAATCTGCCTTCACCAAGATTTCCGCCACAGTCATACCATCCCTAAAACCTTCACCTGGTCCAATAGGCCCTATCAAAATAACTGCACCAGGAGTAGCTAAACTTCAAAAAAAAAACTTGAGGCCCAATAAAGCGCCCGGACCTGACTGTATCCCGAACATTGTCCTGACGACACCGGCTGACAACATTGTCCTGACGACCCCGGCTGACAACATTGTCCTGACGACCCCGGCTGACAACATTGTCCCAACCATCACCCGCATATACCAAAAGTCGCTTCACTCACGCAAAATCCCGCTAGACTGGATTGATGCAACTATCACTAGTGCCTACAAGAAAGGTGACCGTCATAACCCAGCAAACTACCGCCCAATATCCCTGACCTCCGTCCCATGCAAAATTCTAGAACACATCTTTCGCCAGATCATGAGCCACCTTGAACACCATAACATTTTGACCAAACTAAACCATGGTTTCCGCTTTGGATTCTCAACAGAAACTCAATTAATCAGCAACACCATTGACCACCTTGCCTCCTACGACAAAGGTAACCAGGTCGATATGACAATTCTCGACTTCTCCACGGCCTTCGACACTGTTCCACATAGCCTTCTTCTACACAGGCTCCACCACTACGGCATCACCCACAATCTTCATTCCTGGCTTTCAACATTCCTAACCCAACGGAGCATGCAAGTAGTTGTAGATGGCGTCCGATCAGGCAAAGCCACCGTAGACTCAGGGGTTCATCAAGGTACAGTGCTGGGCCATCATCTCTTTCTCTGTCACATTAACGAACTCCCTGATACTGTAAAATCTCAAGTGAGTTTATTTGCAGATGACTGTCTTGTCTACAGAGAGATAAACTGCTGCGATGACCACAAGCACCTCCAAGCAGATTTAAAGTGCCTTATGAATTGGTTGGACAAATGAGGCATGAAATTTAACGAAACCGAATGCTACACAATAAGCATCTCAAGAAAAAACAACAACATCAAATGTATATAATCACTAAATAACACAATTCTCCAAGTATCAAATAATCCACTCCTTGGCATTCACTTCTCGAAAAACCTAAAAGGGTCACCCCATATAAACACAATTTCGAAAAAGCCAACTTCACTCTATGTTTCCTTCGAAGAAATCTGCCCCACTGCCTAACCTTTTGCAAACGAAATGCCTATCTTGCACTCGTCCGTCCACTACTAGAATATGGTGCGATCATCTGGGACCCATACCTAAAGCAAGACGTAGACAAGATGGAGCGACGTAACGAAGTGCGCTTCATCACACGTGACCACAAATCGACCACTCTTGGTTTCGTCATTGGCCTCCCTCAAAGACAGACGAGAAAAGCTTCGCCTAAAATTCTTATATATGGTGGTCATCGGGCCAGTGTCGGCCATCCCAGCAAACACGTTTCTCACCCCACTGCCGTCAATCGAGAGCTTCAAGGCTGCCCCTGGCATTAGCTAGGAGCCGTTAAAATACCAGTTTCGCATCCTCAACCGTTGCACATTTGCCAGTCAATGGATTCAGCAACGTACCCTAGCAGAACAAAGCCAGAAAGGGCAAACCCTTTTAAGAGTGGTTTGTGGAGAAAAGGATTGCTAGATACTTATAGATTGATATAGGCAGCTGGGGCTTTTGTAAGGGAGCATGTCAAGAAATGAGAACTAAACCTGGATGACAATGGAAGAAAGGGTTTGGAGGTTACGCGTCATTTTACTTTTTAGAGAAAAATAGTTTTACGTCCACGTCATCTATGTGTGCTTGAGTTACGCGCAAGGGAAAGGCGCAATAGGGTCTAGAGCAGTCGATCCCTAACTATGAGCCACGACGCCCGCAGGGGTCACCTGACGAAAATATGTCAGTGGTCGCACGAGGCCTTAAAAAAAAAGTGCATTATTTTATTTGCACAACGTCTTATTTTAAAATGTAAATATTCTTTACAGCGGTCAGCTGTCTTAGATTCACTAGACTGTGACTATATTACAGTTACATTAAAAAAAAAACAAAAAAACAACTCAGAAAACTAAAACCATCCTTCTTTCGGTAGAAGTTAGTAGTCTGTTTATTTTTAAAGTTTTAACAATTTCAATTCATTTTGTATAATGGGAGTCGCTTAGTCGATTGATTTGTCACGTGATGAGAGTAAAAACGAGTAAGACTTCCGGTAGGCTGTATACAACACACTAGTGCTTGACAACAGTAGCCCGTTACACACTACAACTGGTAATTCAAGACGCCTAGGCAATGTTCGGCTTTTGGCTGTTCAAACAGTCAAGTTAAGGACAGCGGTATAAGTCTGCATAAGTTTCCGCTTAAGGATAAAGAAAATTTAAGACAATGGCTTGACAAAGTGGACCTTCGTTAATTATTCACATGAAATCTTTTTCCAACCGGTTATTAAGATATTCCTTCACCGCACCAATATTGAATAAACAAGCAAATGACGTCATGGGTATGCCGACATTTCGTCCAATGAAAATTAACAATAAAATAAACAAAGGGGAATGACTCCTGCACCAATATTGAATAAACACGCAAAATGACGTCATGGCCACGCACGGAGCTCAACAACAGCCTGCCGATGATAGTATTGATAGTTCCCATCGAATATCTCTCACAAATTTTTCTTGAAATAACTTTCTTCCTTTAATCCTAACTGACGTATATTTATTGTCACATTTATGGATTTCATTAAAAAAAACGCGTGTATTCCAGAATATTTCGTAAGGTAAAATTTTCAAGTAACATGACATTGGGGAAGCACTGATGAAGTATCTTTTGCTGTGTGTAGCAGCCTAGTGATGGCTTACTCTCATCACGTGACCAAACAAGCAAGTGACTAAGCGACCCCCGTTCACATTATCCTTGTTGTGTTACTTGAATTTACTGTGATATAAGTGTTGAATAGGTGAGCTGTCGATAATTATGAAGGATTTTTTAAAATGTTTTTTTTTTAAATTGTGCTGTTGATCAATTTATCCGTGAGTTTGTTTGGGGGTGGAAGAAACACATTTCCTCCCCCCCCCCCCTTTGTTTTCATATGAGCTATACAAACGAACAACAATTAAAATAACCCATGATTTCTTCGTTGCCGCTAGGTAGGTCATCAACGTTTAATGGAATTTCCTATTGGTGCACGCAAATGAACGTCTTCCCTGTGTGCGCGGTGCGTAAGATATCTTTGCTCATGACATGAGAACATTGTGTTGAGCCTTAATTTACTTGAAGTCTGAAAGTTGTGAAAAGCATCATTTTTTAAAATAATCCTTCCATGCCTAGGTGGGAAACATTTTAAAAAAAAATAATAACCACAGTTGTTGCCAATAAAATGTACATTTTGTTAAAATTAATTATATATATACATACATCATAAAAAAAACAAAAACAACTGCTTTTTAATCAAATGAAAGGGGAAATGAAATCGAATGGGGTGCCTCTGCCATTTATATTATTTATAATTTTGTCGCATTTTCGTATTTTTTAATTTCCTTTGGTGTGTTATTTTCCTGACTAAACTTTATACTTGATATCTTCCACGGAAATTGTGTAAATTTGTATTGTTCATTTCAGGCTACACAATTAAAAATAAACAACTTATCCTTTTGAAAATTTAATTATTTTCTTTAAAAAAAAAAAAATAAAAAAAAAATAAAAATGAAAAAAATAAACCAAACAAAAAATTAGCTCAAATTGCTTTATCATAAAATGATTATGAATTTAATTATAAAACTAAAAATGCAAGATAAGTAAAAGCAGGCTGTAAATGATAAAATTGTGATAAATTTACAAATCAACCTAAATTTATAGAGCCTGTATATCGAAATTACACTAAAATGTTATTCAAAAATTCATTTTCTGGGAAAGGTGATCTAGGTCTGAAACAAATAGAGACCACACTACACGGGCCCTAAGAGGTGAATCACTGAGAAATTTAATACCGTGAAGAAAGATTTTAAAGTTTTTCGGATTCCCGAAACAAGCTTATTTTACAGAAAGTGGTCCCTGTCCACAGTTAAGATAACCCATGTGGCGTGGGCAGCGTCAGGTTGGTTTATGAGGGCAGCTTGTCAGGGTGAATTGTAAGGCTGAATTGTAGGGGTGAATTGTAAGGGTGAATTGTAAGGGTGAATTGTGGGGGTGAATTGTAAGGGTGAATTTTAAGGGTGAATTGTAAGGGTGAATTGTGGGGGTAGGCTGCCAGGGTGAATCGTTAGGGTCGCTTGTAAGGGACGTTGTGAGGGTAGCTTAGGGTGTTCTATGGTAGGTAAAGAAGGTACGTTGTCAAGGTTGATTCCGAGGATAGGTTGTCAGGGTTGGGTTTTCATGGTAGAACGGGGTGGTCTTTTTCTGGGGTAAGGTTGCAAGTTAGGTTTAGAGGGTAGATTGTAAGGGTAGATTGCCAGGGTAGATTGTAAGGGTAGATTATAAGGGTAGATTGCTAGGGTAGATTGCCAGGGTAGATTGTAAGGGTAGATTATAAGGGTAGATTGCTAGGGTAGATTGTAAGGGTAGATTGCCGGGGTAGATTGCCAGGGTAGATTGTAAGGGTAGATTATAAGGGTAGATTGCTAGGGTAGATTGTAAGGGTAGATTGCCAGGGTAGATTGCCAGGGTAGATTGTAAGGGTAGATTATAAGGGTAGATTGCTAGGGTAGATTGTAAGGGTAGATTGCCAGGGTAGATTGCCAGGGTAGATTGTAAGGGTAGATTGCCAGGGTAGATTATAAGAGTAGATTGCCAGGGTAGATTTTAAAGGTAGATTTAGAGGGTAGATTGTAAGGGTAGATGGTCAGGGTAGATTGTAAGGGTAGATGGCCAGGGTAGGGGTAGATGGCCAGGGTAGATTGTAAGGGTAGATTGCCAGGGTAGATTGTAAGGGTAGATTGTAAGGGAAGATTGCCAGGGTAGATTGCGAGGGTAGATTGCCAGGGTAGATTGTAAGGGTAGATTGCCAGGGTAGGTTTTCCAGGGTGCAACGTAAGGTGAAAACTTAACCTGGGAAATAAAATAAAGACTGGCCAAACGAGCTTGGGTTCTTTCCCTTTCTTACGCGTTTCTTTAAAGACCTGGAAGCCTCGGTGTCAACAAGTATCGCGACACAGATTTTTCGACCACCAGCGTCAAGGACTAATGCAATCGAAACAGAACCATACACTGAGTTAATAGCGCCACTAAAAACAGCATGATATGAAAGAAGCTGTCATCATCAACAAGAGGCGGGTCGGTCGTCACGATGGTCACATTGCGTTCCTGTCGCGGTTCTTGTCGTTTTGTCGCACGCTTGCGTTTCTCCAGTTCGAGCCGTCGATCCGGCAGCCGTAATACACACCCCGTGGCTCTGCTTGAGTGAGGCTTGTATACGAGATCCACACGCCGCTGCACAGTCTGCGGGATGACGGCCCCAGAAAACAAAAGATGGGCTTCGCCTTCAGGCCTTGTGTTTTGTGTTTTCCTATTCCGCTTCCTGTCTGGCGAGACGGGAGGCAGCCTCCTCTTTCTAGGCACCTTGTTTTCCTCCGGGGGCACATCGTCGGCAGATCCCGACGGATGGTTCAAGAGAGTACCCCCCAATGTCCTCCTACTTGGTGACGTCAGAGCATTTTCATTAGCATTTGCCTCGCCATCCAAGTCTTTTTGTTTCTTTACATGTTGAGACTCACGCTTCACTTCATTTTCATTTTCAGAGTCCGAAGAAAGTTTTATGGGGGACCGTTCCGCCCATGGTTTCTCGTATTTTAAAACCACGACGTCACTTCCGGCTTTACAGCTAGCATCGGGGTCGCCAAAATCTCGCCCGAACACCGGATCACCGCTTGCTGGGCTGACAGAGACTTTGTGTTCGTCTCGCCGGGAATTTTCATTCATATCGCAACAGCTGGGTGGCCCCGTTGCTGTAGAGTCCCAAACTGTGATGAGGGCCTCCGAGGTATCAGCTTGTGGTGGGGCTCTGGGATTTGTTTCTTTTTCGGTTCTGGCATCTATCATTTCAACCCCAGAATCATCTCCACCGTCACTTGAGGATTCACCTTCGGTAAGTGCAGCAGTGGTTTCTGGTTCATCATCTATCGGCAGTAAGATCTGAACGATGTACGCACACCACAGAATTAAAACCTCTTCCTCTGTTGTCCACCCCATATTGATATTACGCATGCGTTCAATGTAAGTGCTCAGTGGTGCATGAACATTGGGATTTCGTTTTTTGAAAATCCTATTGTAACTTAAACAACCCATAAAAACAATTTTTTTCCCTTATCAATACTTTATATATCTTTTAAGCATATTTTTATTTTTTAAAATTAATATTCTAACGTCCCACCCGATTTTAGATCGTAGATTTATTTCACCAGCTATTTCAGAAGAAAAAAAAAATATTACGCACCAAATGCACTTGTAATATTTTAAAAAATAATCTCGTTCAGCGTAGTTATTGGTAGGCTTATTTCACGAAATCGATGACCTCATATTTCTTGCATCCACTCCTTGGAAAAAGAGGAAAAAACATATTTTTGCGGGGGTAGTTAGGGAGTGCGGCTGAAAATTTGAAATAATGTGTTGTCATTGGCGTCGAAGTCTATGGGCCAAGTTTAAGCTGCATAGCTTGACGGGAAATGGATCAATTGGCCGCCCGAAGACTTTGCCAGCCAGCCAGCCAGCCACGAACAAAAGCGAAGTTGATATAAAGGATTTCATTTTTCAAAAAATCTAAATATAGTTTTATTTAAAAACACTAACACCTTATCTCATGGAACTTTTTTTTTTTTTTTTTTTTTTTGGGGGGGGGGGGGGTTTTTTCCTTTAAACAANTCTGGATCTTTATAAAATATTCCATGGGAGAATTCTTAGGAGGCTCGCGGTCTACCTGGAGAAAGTTGTTTTAACATTTATTAATACATTACACATTTTTAATCAAGTCATTTTACACAATTCCCCCCCCCCTCCCTTCCCTCAAAATACAACTTGCACCATTTCAACTGTAGCTGAGTAACAAAGACAAGTTTCTTATTTTATGCTGGGAAGCCATTGAGTTAGGAAAAGTAAACGATTTTTTTTTATCTATCAGAATTCGATTTATCAATATTCTGTCGATATCTTAATTTCTCTTTATCAGATCTTTCAAAGTATTGATATCAGATTTTTCAAAGTATTGATATCAGATCTTTCAAAGTATTGAGATCAGATCTTTCAAAGTATTGACATCAGATCGTTCAAAGTATTGAGATCAGATCTTTCAAAGTACTGATATCAGATCGTTCAAAGTATTGATATCAGATGAAATACCACACAGTTATAAATGGCCATACTTCAAAAAATAGTTCAATATTCCGTATTAAATTTCCGCAATCTTGACTTCGCTTTATATAACACATATATAATACACACTTTTTATTTACTTTTCTTCAACTTTATATAACATAAATTATCTCTTACATTTAATGGTAAATAGATTAGTTCTTGACAAGATTTTAAAGCTGCTAGTTGAAATGTAAGTGTCCATACCTAGCTGTAGTTATGTCAAAAGAAATGCTAGTTGAAATGTAAGTGTCCATACCTAGCTGTAGTTATGTCTCACACACACACACACACACGCACAAAGAACAAACAAACAACGATATCAAGCGACGCATTTATACAATGGAAGATAAGTAGTCCCCACTTCCATAAATCAATGCTCCTATCGAAAGTTAAGCACGGCAAGGCCAAGGTCATGCCAAACATAAGACAGAGGGGAAGTCGTTACGGGCATGTCTCTCTACCGCGAACGTGGGGGTCGGTGTTTCGCAATCCGTTTTTAAACTAAATAAAACTAAGGCGGGGAATATTCCGACTAGAGTACATTAAAAAAAAACAACAACAACAAAGAAACAAAAGGTCGAGGAACCACCGTTTAGATGACGTCATTCGTTTTCTTTACGCCCCTTACCTTGACACTGAACACGTCGACGGACGTCACCCAATTAAAGAGCGTTCTCAGCTTCTCCAGCTCGTTGGTTTTCACCGGTTCCAGCAGGTAGTCGACAAGGTCCCTGAAGGTGCCGTAGTTGAACTTCTGGGGCATCTAGAGAAAATATTATGATGTACAAAGTAAGCCGTACGCAGATCTTTGTTGGATCCCTTCTTTAGGGGATAAGTCGGTCATTAGAAGATATGTCGGTCATTAGAAGATAAGTCGGTCATTAGAAGATAAGTCAGTCATTAGAAGATAAGTCAATCATTAGAAGATAAGTCAGTCATTAGAAGATATGTCGGTCATTAGAAGATAAGTCGATCATTAGAAGATAAGTCGATCATTAGAAGATAAGTCAGTGATTAGAAGACAAGTCGATCATCGGAAGATAAGTCGGTCATTAGAAGATAAATCGGATATTAGAAAATAAGTCGGTCATTGGAAGATAAGTTAACTTTAGAAGATAAGTCAGTCATTAGAAGACAAGTCGATCATCAGAAGATAAGTCGGTCATTAGAAGATAAGTCGGTCATTAGAAGATAAGTCGATCATCGGAAGATAAGTCGGTCATCGGAAGATAAGTCGGTCATTAGAAGATATGTCGGTCATTAGAAGATAAGTCGGTAATTAGAAGATAAGTCGGTCATCGGAAGATAAGTCGTCACTAGAAGTAAAGAAATGTCGTAAACCAGGCAATCACAGAGAGTGTATTCTTTGACCTGTCAGTAATAAATCAGGACATCACAGAGAGTGTATTCTTTGACCTGTCAGTCATAAACCAGGCAATCACAGAGAGTGTATTCTTTGACCTGTCAGTCATAAACCAGGCTATCACAGATAGTGTATTCTTTGACCTGTCAGTCATAAACCAGGCAATCACAGAGAGTGTATTCTTTGACCTGTCAGTCATAAACCAGGCAATCACAGAGAGTGTATTCTTTGACCTGTCAGTCATAAACCAGGCAATCACAGAGAGTGTATTCTTTGACCTGTCAGTCATAAACCAGGCAATCACAGAGAGTGTATTCTTTGACCTGTCAGTCATAAACCAGGCAATCACAGAGAGTGTATTCTTTGACCTGTCAGTCATAAACCAGGACATCACAGAGAGTGTATTCTTTGACCTCTCAGTAATAAATCAGGACATCCCGCAAGGTAGGGCAGCACAGAGAACGCATTGCAATATTACCTTTTTTTTTAAAAAATACGTTCCTATCATAAAACATTTGAAATGACACTCGAGGCACGATAGTGACGTTAATTTATCGCATATGCGATAGAATGAAATAATCATTAATAGCTTCCGGGTCATGTTTTCTGACAAAACCTTACACCGATTCTCCAAAATTCTGATTGAAGCTGAATATGTGCATTAAAATAAATCAATCAACACCCCATAAATCTATTTTATGCGTCATTTTATTTTACATATTAATATTCTTACGACCCATCCGCTTTTACACCGCAGATTTGTTTCACCAACCATTTCAGAAAAAATCAAAAGAAATTATTACGCGCAAAATGCATTTGCGATATTTTTTGAAAAAAAAAAAAAAAGAAAATAATTGAGCGCATTTATCGTGAGATTTATTTCATGAAATACTTACGACCCAACCCCTTTTACACCGCAGATTTTTTTCACCAACACATTCAGAAAAAATCAAAAAAAAATAATAAGCGCAAAATTCATTTTCGATATTTTTTGAAAAAAAAAAAAAAAAGAAAATAATTGAGCGCATTTATCGTGAGATTTATTTCATGAAATTAGCGCTTTTATTTCCTTTACCTGATCCTAAAAAAACATGAAAAAAAAGGATTTGTTTAAAGGGAGGGGGGGTTGGGGATATGAAAATTTGAAACAATTTGTTGTCATCGACAACGAGTCTACATGCCAAGTTTCAGCTCGATAGGTTGATGATAAGTGGGTCAATTTGCCGTCCGAAGATTTTGCCATAAACACCAAAAAGCGAAATTGATATCGTCGGCCGACCCGGCCCTGTATATTTTGTGTGTTATATGATGAGCTCTCCAAGCAAAATTAATTCAACAACCCATTGGTCCATACATTCCACTTACTTCATAAAATAATGGGTCCATACATCTAACTTACTTCATCAACTTACTGGTTAATATATAAAACTTACTTCACTAACTTATCGGGATATAAATTTGACTTACTTCATCAAAGTTTTGCTCAATACATTTAACTTACTTCATCAACTTCTTGGTCCATACATTCAACCAATTTTATCAACTCATTGGTCCATACATTCAACTTACTCCATCAACTTATTGGTTCATACATTCAAATTACTTCATCAACGTTTTGTGCCATACATTAGACTTACTTCATCAACTTATGGTTCGTAAATTCTAATTACTTTATCAACTTATTGTTCCATAAATTCGACTTTTTCATCATCTTTTTGCTCCATACATTCGACTTACTTCATCAACATTTTGTTCCATACATTCGACTTACTTCATCAAATTTTTGTTCCATACATTCGACTTGCTTCATCAACTTGTTGTTCCATACATTCAACTTACTTTATCAACTTATTGTTCCATATTTTCGACTTACTTCATCATTTTATTGTTCCATGAATTCGACTTCTTCATCCTCTTTTTTTGTTAGATACATTCAACTTACTTCAACACCTTATTGTTCCATACATTCAACTTACTTCTTCTTCTTCTTATATTTGAGGGGCCCACGATCAATTTGTTGATCATTCTGGCTCCTGGTTTATATTCAGAGTTTGCCTTCTCTTAGATGGGTTGCCGTCCAAGGCTAACGAGTCCCATCCACCCGGATGGGACTCATCAACTTGTTTATGACTGGTTTATTGCCTGGTTTATGACTGACAGGTCAAAGAATACACTCTCTGTGATTGCCTGGTTTATGACTGACAGGTCAAAGAATACACTATTCATTGTTTACTTCATCAACTTGTTTGTCCCTACGGTCAACTTACTTCGCAACTTATTTTCCCCTACATTCGACTTACTTCATCAACTAATTTTTCCCTACTTTCAACTTACTTCTTCAACTTATTTGTCCCTATATTCAACTTACTTCATCAGCTTATTTGTCCCTAAATTCAACTTACTTCATCAGCTTATTTGTCCCTACATTCAACTTACTTCATCAACTTATTTGTCCCTACATTCAACTTACTTCATCA